TAAAAAAAGGCAAATTATTTTAAAGACGAGGCTATCTGGCTTACCTTAAGTTGCCCCCCAGTGCCACAGCGGGATGTCTGCGGACTTTCAACGCTAAAAACCGGGTTTCGATACCCGTGGTGGGCAGAGCACAGATAGCCAATTGTGTAGCTTTGTGCTTAACTTCAAACAAACAAACAAAATACTTTAAGTTAAACACCGGATGCTTGTGTTGGAAAGACAAATACTTACGCTGTATAAGTCTCTTCAAGTTAATGAGGACGTTTACTTAAATCAATCCAAAAATAAAAACATCATGACTATACGCAAAGCACACTATTTAACGATGTAAAAATAAAGTAATATACACACACGTAAACATTGGATTAAGCCGTTGAAACTCAAGACGAGAAGCTTCATTACTTGTGAATCTTAAAGTGAATGGTTTCCTTTAAACATATTATATTTTATGGCTATTTCTGTCGACTATTGTAAATAAAAAAACGTTAAAATTTTCATTCTGTATATGTTGCATGTTTTCTCCTTTTTCTCTTTACTTTGTGGAGCTGAGGGGGATCTAAAGGTTAGTGTACCTAGATTGTTGCTGCTCTAAAGGGGACGGTCAAATCCCACTATTTGGTCAGACAAGAGTAGACAAAGAGTTGGCGATTAGTGCTTTTAAATAGCTGCCTTTCATCTAGTATAACAGCTCAGAATTAGGGACAGTTATGCGTACAGACCTTGTGTACTCAACTTTACGCGAACATTCTGAAACAAACAAACAAACTTTACTTTGAATCCGTGTACGCTGTGGGCGTTATAAGAATGACAGTCAATCCCTTAACGTGAATGGTGGGTGGTAGGGTGCCACTGACTGACTGCATTCTCTCTCGTCTGTAGCTCAAAATTAAGGAAGATGGCAGATAGCCTTATTAGCTTTGCCATAAATACAAATTATTATTTTTTTACGTTTATATGTTTGATTTTTACTTTACTTTTCTTCAATCTCTCTCGTTTTTACTTTACTATTATTTGCTGTTGTCATTTTCTTCTTTTCATTATTGCCCCCCAGTGGCACAGCGGTATGTCTGCGGACTTACAACGCTAGAAATCGGGTTTCGATACTCGTGGTGGGCAGAGCACAGATAGCCCATTGTGTAGCTTTGTGCATAATTAAAAACAAACAAACAAACAAAACTTTTCATTATTATTCTTATTCATCATTTTCGTATATATTGTTGCCCCCATCTTTAGGCTTACGACACTAAAATTCGGGTTTCAACATTCATAGTGAGCAGAGCACAGAAAGCTAATTCTGTAGCTTTGTGCTAAAAAAATATCGTTTGAATTTCAATCTTTTGTTTTTGTTTCCTGTGGTAATTTTAGTCGAATTCATAATATACCCCGACTTTTACTTTAAACACAAATTATAACTGTGAGTGATGATTGAAACCTGACGTGGCTATAACGATCATTCTTAACAATTCATTACAACAGGACGTTCGCTGAAACATAGCACGCGCTGTTGACAATATAAAACAAGTCGTCTCATCAGCAAGCTATGGTTTGATTCTGCTGGAGTGGAACTGATTAATAAAACACGACTGACAACTTCAAGCATTTCCGACATGTCTGATATTTTAATTAGTATTTTTTGTTACACCTATACATTATTCTTTGAAAATCCTCCAATCTCCTTATTGCATCTATTTTACTCAATGTAGCTTTATATTAAATATTCTAAATCTTTATCATCAACTCACTGTTGACAGTGCATCTTCTGAAATTTTATTATCAGATCTTCTTTTTTTAGCTCGCTCCACTTTCGCTATCTTTCACTGCCTTCATAACTGCATTTCAGTTTTACGTGATTATCATCCTTATCATTCATTTTATCTCTATCTTTCCATTACAATCTATCTCAGTGTGAGTTTATATAAATCTAGAGCATTCTTACTATTATTGCTCTTTTGTATCTCTTTTATTCTATCCTATCATTATATTTACTCTTTTTCCAACACAATCTTTACCTCTTCCTCAGTAACATTCTCTCTATCATTGGCTTTAATTGTCGTCTTTCTATTGCGCTATAGCATGCCTACTATCATTAATTTTTATCATTCAATAATATTTTCTTTGTAATTGTCTTACATTGTCCATTATTAGTCCCACAATATTCTGGGTATCATTACATTATCTTTATTTCTTTCTATATCATTATACATTACGTTCACGCTCTCTATACCTCCACACGTGAACCAAACATTACATTTTTTTATCATTTATTTTGGGTATTAATATTAACCTGGGCAGAAAAAAACTTGAATACAAATTTGACCATTAACAAAATGCTATGAGTAAAGCTTGGGATTCCGAAATAGATATTGCAAATATGCATGAATAAATCATTTTTTTTTTACACAGTAGGTGAGTTCTGTAGTTTAATATCCTCAACATAGGGTTCACGTTATCTAGAGTGAATTCAAAACACGTCAAACGATTCCCGTGTGATCCCTTGATTAAACAAAAATCTGATTACTTCACTATCATTAACATAACTATCTTTATGTAATGGAGCTGCTTAATCTCTAAGGGTTGATCAACTGACTATTCCAGCAAGCGTACAAAAGAAATCTAATAATTATCAATGTACTGTAATAGTCAGTGTTGTTTTTAACGTAAATAAAAACGTTAAACTGCATTAGTTCACGCGTCCCCTGGTGGACCAGGAGTAATTTTACTAACTTACAAGGCTGAAATTTGAGGTTATATTCCCGGCGGTGTGTAACTTTGCGCTAACAAAAACAACATTTGTTTATGCTAATCGGCTTATCTTTTATATATAGTGTATAACCTATTACAGGAGTTCTATTATAGATAAAAGTTCAAAACCTATTTTTCGAAACATTCAATAGACATATATTGGTCCAACAAATATTGTAGTCGGTGTAAACATCCATTCATTCACCTGGAGAAAACAAAACCTGAGATCTAATTTAATATGACGCAGTTTTTATCCTTGTCTTATTATTCTAAGGTGGAGAAAAATTAAGAAAACTTTAGCCAGAAAAAAAATCATCCAGCAGAGAGACCAGTCTGTCTCTTTGAGAACTCTATGAAAAATTAGGTTTTGTTTTTGTTTTCGTTATATCATAAAACCGTTCCAGCGGAAGCAAGACAGGTATTCTGCGGTGAAGCCGGATACTAATAAGGTCCTCCTTCCCTGCAGTTATCCAAAGTGACACTATAGAACCAACAGAAGTCTTTGAACGACACAGATAGTTAGATAAAGAGTCAAATAGATAGATATATTTTTGACGAACCAGTCA